GGGGAGAAGCAGCGTAGCCTGGACCCTAGCTTTCGTTGGCTTCCTTCTACCTTCAAAGAGCATGGGAAGTTTTGGCCCCTAAGATCCAAAGATTCAGGGTCTCTGCGGAGTTCGAGGGGTCTTGGCGGCCCCAAACACGAGGCGAGCTACCACCTCTCCCCTTCTCCCTCCCTGCAAACTCCTTGCTTGAGGCTAGCTTTAGTCCCGCCGTCCGGTCCGGCACCCCCTCCTGCAGCCCGGCCCCGCGAACTTCCACGTCCGCCTGTGGGCCATCCGGGCTGCGGGCCCATTCTCCGGCTGGTGAAAAATGCATTTCGATGGAATGGGAACATCTGGGAAGGGCGCTCACAAATCCCACACGCTTCCTCCCCAACAACACACTAGGACCCCACCCACGACCGAGCATACCACGGGACCCCCACCCTTCCACTATCACTCCAGCTTACAAAGCTGGGGTCCAGGGCCCTCTCCGCGTCCCTCTCCCCTCCCCGCTGGGCCTCGGAGTCCTCTCCCGCCCGAGAAGAGTCAGGAAGGAGGGAAGGGGAACCGTTGCCCGGGGTCAGTCAGGTCGTTACCCTCCGTCAGTCGCGGGCTGCCCGGCTCCCTGCTTCTCTCGGCAGCGCCCATGTCCAGCTCCCGGACGGGAGAGCGCCCTCCTCCAGCTCCTCCGCCTGCTCCTCCTCCTCCTACACCTCCTCCGCCTCCTCCGCCTCCGCCTCCGCCTCCTCCGCCGCCGCCTCCGCCGGCCGCCCGGACTGCCGGGCTGCTGCGGTCGTCGCGGCCGGCCTCGGTGCAGCCGGTCGGCTCCTTGGCCCCGCGCAGCGGCCCGCTCTCCAGCACCTCGCGGTACGTGATCGCCTCCTTCTTCTCCTTCACTTTCTGGTCAAAAGACTTGGAGACGAACGCCGTAAGTTCTTCCATCGCAGCCGCACGTCAGCCCGGCGCTCAACCTCTGCCAGCCGAGCCCCGCTCTTTTTTTCCTTCTTCTTTTTTTACTGCTCCAGCCCCCCCAATAATAACACATCAATGGGACAGGAGGTGGGGGAGGAGAGGGAGGTGGAGGAAGAAGAAGAAAAAGAGGAGAAGAAGGAAGAAAGAGGAGGAGAAGTAGGAGAAAAAGAAGTAAGAAGAGGAGGAGGAGGGGGAGAAGGGTGAGGAGGAGGAGAGGGAGGAGGAGGAGGAGAAGAGAAGGGGCGGGGGCCGCCGGAGGGAAATGGGAACTGATGCTTCCCTGCCGGAGCGCGCTTGTTCAATGTTAAGATCTTTGACAATTCTTCCTGCGGAGAGTTCAGATCTGATAGCGACGCTGCGCTTGAAGTCTCACTATTTATACTTCCTAAAGGCGGCCCCTTGTTCTGAGTAAATTACCTCCCCGCGCAACTCGGAGTGAGCCCCCTTCCCGGGTAGCAGTCGCGCCTCTACCGGGGGTTGGGGAGGGGAAAAGGAGAAGGAGAAGGGGGTAGAGAGAGAGAGAGAGAGAGAGAGAGAGAGAGAGAGAGATTGGAGTTCGGGCGGGCTGGGGCTGGAGTGGTAGGGCAGCACAGGGGGACTGGAGGGGGCGGGGAGAGGAGGCCGGTCCCCGGCCGCTCAGGTTTCCAGATAGCCCCTGCCGCCTATGCTCTTGGCCATTAATCCAGGATTGACAAGAATCCCTAATTAATTTAATTAGGCGTGGATTTTGCGTTGGTGTCACGACTTAGTTAAACACTGGGGAGCTGGATAGACCCCGCGGGGTGGGGCCAAGAGGAAACTGACAAGTGCGCAGCTCTTAGAGTCAGTCTGGTATCCCGACACTACATCCTTCCCTACAGCCTTGCTTGGAGTCAGGATGCCTCGCAACTGCTCAGCTTCGCATTTCTTTTCCTCGTCCCTGCCCTGCATCAATCGCCCAGGAGTTTATAGGCCCCGCATCCCATTCTCGCATCCTGAGCCCGCATCCCAATCCTGCATCCCCGCCTCTCACTCACACCTTCGACCCCTGCCGGCAGTAGCTCCACCGCCCGGCATCATCCTGCCCAGAGTCAGGGTTGTCTGCACCTTCTACGACCCGCGCAGCTTCTCTTAGGAGCTTCCCGGCTCGCAGGCAGGTTGAGTCCGGTTCTCCTCCAAGTTCCTCGCCCCTCGGTCCGTGTTATTCGCTCTATTATTCGTGTCCTGAAGCCTAGCTGACTCCTCTATGGACAGACCCCGCTAAAAGGGACCGGTCGATTTAACAAGTTTCCCGAGCAGCTGTTAGCTGACAGATCTCATTTTAAAGTGTTTCCTTAGCGCCCGGTCAAGGACAGCTCGACTTCGTTCGTTTCCCCTCTGAGGTCTCAGAACTCTCACCCTTCTCCCTTGCTCCTTGCAACCGGACCCCTCTATGATGAATTACAGGACTTCTTCTTTAGCATCTTGGGAAACATCCGAGTTTGTTTACTAATTTGAAAAACAAGAGATTATCCCTCTTCGAGTCTGAAAAAAAAAATCGACGTTAAGTTTGTACCTCGTCTAATTTCATTTATTGCGGAGTGCTAAAAAAGAGACGCTCGCCAGGAGTAAACGTCCTCTCTCTCTCTCTCTCTCTCCCTCCCCCCCCCACCCCCCAAAAACTCCCTTGCCCCCCCCCCCCCCCCCCCCCCCCCCCCGCAACGATTTAAAATTCTATTTCTGGTCTATTTTCATCGGAACCGTTTGTTACATTAGAGGAACATCTATATTCCTGAGTCATTTGTCTGTATTGTGCCGGACAGGGCTTGCTGTGAGAAGTGTGGCTATGCAAATATATACTCACAAAAGAATATTTACATATGAAAAGTTATATTTAAGTGTGTAAACAAATATACCTCTTTAAGTGTGGCTTAGGGGACATTTTCAAGTACTCTGAATATTAATGCAGACTTTCTGGAAGTTAAAGGTAACTTGATCATTATTTTGGATCTAATACTCTTAGTAAAAATAAGAGGAATTACAGAACATTAATATGTATATCTTCCATATATTGGTTAAGGCATCAAAACAAATTAGCAGATAATTTAAGAAGTTCTGTCAAAACAATCTGAAATACTTGTAAAAAGAGAACACAATTATAACTTAATATATTAGTGTTTCTCAAATAGATGTAAATAGAAGTTGGATATAACCTTATATTATTCTACAATACTCATATTAAAATGTTCACATTTGGTGAATTTAAGGATTATGCATATCATGCTTTTTAGAAATGTTTTGCCTTTCTAAAACATTTCATTTTTTGCCACTTTTAGGAGAACCAATGTCTATAATTTTTCCACAGCTATAGCTTTTAGGTATTAATACATTGTGTCAGTACTTGCTTTTGTTTTGTTACACCACAAAAGGGACTCAAATACTCAAAGTTTCCAAAGTTATACAAATTTAGAAACAATTTTACATTGAGTCTTGGGTTACTCTCTGTAACTACTTTCTGATATTATCAGAGGAAAATAATAAAAAAACTTTAGTCCTTTATGAAAATCTGTTTTTAAGATTATTTAGCAGAAAGGCCAGTAATGGGGTGAGCTAAGTGGATATGGTGCTCAAGGTGCTCTCAAACTGAGGTGTTAAATACATATTCATAAATAACTCAAAAATAACCACTGTTAGAAGTCGGCAAGGAATCAGGAGACCCACCAGCTACTAGTTTGCGTTTTTAAGCATGATTTTTAGGTTTGAACTCATCTTTCATCTACTGAGCTTGAGGGAAAGATGACCACTTTAAAGGTAGTCAGGGAAGTCACAGACACAACTATTGTGTAATTCAAACCAATAGATTTTCCCATGATCTCAGCTTTTTGGCTCATTGCATATTTAGGAATAGTAGTGTTGATAACAGATGGAGCTATGAGAAATCTTTAGTGTCTGACCACAGATTCCCACTGGCCTAAGGGAAGTTTACTTTAAAAAAAAAATCAAGGTTATAAAATCATATACTAATAAATGCTCACAAAGTTCCAATGATTTTGTTTCATCAAACAGCAAATATTTTCCAGAGATAGGACATTTTAAAATACAGTTTTGGTAAAAAAAAAAAAAAAGCATTTATGGTAAAGCTCAGCTGACAGTCTGTGGACGGATACACAGGTTCCAATAAAATTCAGGACCCAAGGGTTTCCCCAGCTTTTGAATTATTTAAAATATACACATAGTGTTGTAGTAGTTAAGTTTTAAAATGGTGCCTCAAAATTGGCTAGTTAAGGTACATTATTTATGAAAAACATATTGTGGAGGTGATTTTTTTACCATCTCAAATATCTGCGGAAAATTGTAGCTTGGTTATCTAGCAGTGGTGAATGAGTTGATTCTCATAGTCGACCAAAACCCAGGCCAACAATTTATTTATCTTTTTAGCTTTGCTTAAGCGTAAATGAGGAAAAAATAATTTTCACGTAAGGAAAAATAAGTTATGTAGTATGAGTTACAGAAAATGCTGAGTCTCTTTAATTTCTATTGGTTTAAATTAAAAAACTCCACACACCTATAAATTTGATTTCTCCTTCAGAAGAAACCGCTCCCCGCCTCGCCTCAGGCAGGTTTCTCCTATTCCTCTACTAACCAGTTACTTTAATCTGAGAAACTAATTTGCACTCAACTTGTGAGTGCCTTCACCTTCAGGGCAGAAGAAACACCGACTTTTAATGCATTTTTGCAAATAAATCATTACAATTTAATCACACAAGACTCTATACAGACACACTCCCATGATTTATTATCGTTGCGCGAGTTTCCCCCTCCCCCAGCATGAGATAACCAATTTTGTTTCGTGTAGGTGTCATAAACATAACTTCCTACGATGCAGATTTGTTTACTGATTACCCATGACGATAACGACGACTACTAAGCCAATAACACTCTCCAGTCCCACCTTTATTGCTTTTGGTAACAATAAAATCAAAATAAACAGGCACGCAAAACAAATGCCAAACAAAAAATTGGCAGCGTTAAAATCTACTCCCTCGGCATTCCCAGCGCCTGGCAGCATCCATCGATGCACTCGATATCTCGGCTGAAGCTGCCTGGCGCTAGAACCAGGAAGGCGCTGAGCTTAAACTGAAGCAAGTTCGGTGTACGCCGGCGGCGCCCTGATCTAAAGAAACGTCTCAGGGTCTGCGGCGCTTGCACGTCAGCGGAAGGTGTGAGCCCAAAGGTCTGGACCGAGGTGATGCCCACGACTAGGGCCTGGCTAGCGGCGTCCGTGGCTCCGGGGCTCCGAGGCCCTGCTCTGGCAAGAGGCGGCGTGGGGCCTGCTGCAGTTTGCGCTGGATGTCGGCGGAGGGTGGGCGGCGGCCTCGCGGCGTGTGCAGTGTCAACGTGCGCATGCGTCCCGCACCTGGGAGGCTCCGGACTCCCTGGGTCAAGGCTGGTGGCTGTAGGATGGGTGGGTGGGTGGCCGCAGGCCTCAAGCTTGGCCCTCTGTCTTGAGGACGTGTCGGAGAGTTCGCCGACTCCTCCCCTCGCCCCCCATTCCTGGCTCTTCATCTCTGCTTTTGGGTTTCCTGGCTCATCTTGCAATATAAGCCTGGCGCTGCCTCACTAGCTCTAGGTAGGGTGGATCAAGAGGGAGGCTGGATTCTGGTGCCCTCTATCCCATCCACTCCGCTGTCCCTGCTTTAGATCCACCTCTTTCTGATTCCGCCCTACCCTTTCTGGCTCACACTGGCTTGCTGAGAGAAGTGGTGCAGGGTGAAATAGATGTTCCTTTCTTGGAGTATAAATATGCTTGCCTTAAACACACTACATATTCCCTTGACTTCTGTACTTGTGGCCATGTGACTAAGAGCATATGGTTTTGTTTACTTTTGCAAGATGTTATAATGCACCGTAAGGCATGTTGCCTGCTCTTGATTTTAGGTTAACCTTGACGTAATTTCTCTCAGAAGTTGTGTATCTTTAAATGCACACTGGAAACCTAAACAAAAAAATATTTTTTTGGGCCGGGCGCGGTGGGTCAAGCCTGTAATCCCAGCACTTTGGGAGGCCGAGACGGGCGGATCACGAGGTCAGGAGATCGAGACCATCCTGGCTAACACAGTGAAACCCCGTCTCTACTAAAAAATACGAAAAACTAGCCGGGCGAGGTAGCGGGCGCCTGTAGTCCCAGCTACTCGGGAGGCTGAGGCAGGAGAATGGCATAAACCCGGGAGGCGGAGCTTGCAGTGAGCCGAGATCCGGCCACTGCACTCCAGCCTGGGCGACAGAGCGAGACTCCGTCTCAAAAAAAAAAAAATATATATATATATTTTTTTCCACTTCCAGAATTAACAGTAACCCAATTGTGTTCCAACTAACTAGGTAGTAGATACATAAATTCAAATGTCTTTTGTTGTCACAGGAAAGCATTCGAGCTGTCGTCTTTGAACTTAAATGTATTATAAAAGCTCTAAGTGAAGGAGGTAAGCAGAGTTCCCAGGTTTAAGATTTGGAGCAGGTGTGACAGTTGCAACCTTGGGGGAAACTAGGTATCCTTTAAGAGCCTCTCTAGTCTTAGAGTTTACAAATATTCACTTTCTTTGCAGGCAAAGATTTCATGCTAAGTGATATAACACTTTATTTATGTTTTTCAATAAGAGGGCTAAAAATGTCAGAATCTGCAAACGAGAAAAACAGCTGGCACCTTTTTGTTAATTGGCCTTGCCAACTCAACCAGTCTCACAAAGAGGGGTGTTATGAATTGGAAAAGTTCTGAAAGCGGGTTGTTATAGTAGATCTATGGTTGTATTTCCTGCTTTCATTTCCAAACCATTGGGGATAAATTCCTATGATTGATGATGCGTTTTTAAAAAGAAAGATGCTTGCAAGTTTTTGATTGTGATGGAAGAAGTGTTTTGACAGAATTCTTTATCTCTTTTGTTATAAAGAGTTGTGTACTTGTTTATGGATTTCTTAATATGTTAGTTTTCACCCCATTTTTACTTTTCGTCTTTGAGGTGGATTTCCCATTGAAATCAACATTCTTTTCACTTTTTCTGGCCATGTATCCAGAATCAAGAAAATTATAGTTTGATATACTAATGAGTGAGTAGTGGAGAAGTAATTATAAGCTATCATGTCCTTTAGGAATCTTTGTTCTCTCAAACTGATTGCCTGTTTTCTGAAAAAGATAACTGCTTCTTGTACCCTTATCAATAACTGGACAAAGGAACTGCTTGTGTAGTCCTTCGAGATCTCTTTTCTTAAATGACCACATGTTGGTTTCACCTCTTCAATCAGGCACCTGAACTTTACATTAAGATGTTTCTGTAAATTGATTTCCTCCTGTAGTCATTGCATGCCATGGCTTCAATTCTGTAGTGGGAGTAGTTGGGTGAGTTTTGCAACCATGAGGCTACAACCAGGAAGAACTAGAGTGAGAACAGGAAGCCAAGAGCTATAGGAGCTCTATCCCATGTTGTCTCTTTCACTTACAGATAGATTGAAAATTGTTAGCTTGTGGGACTCTAAAAGCCTGTGCTCCATTCATCATTCATTGCCCTTATCAGAAAGAACTATTAATGTGTCTTTCCGTTCATTGCTCCTTACTGGTGGAGTTAAGTATAAAGAATTCTTCCTTACTAGGAATATGTAATATAAATTGATTACCATGACTTGAATTGGCAAGTATATTTAATTACATGCTGATGACATTATGGAAATCTAAGGGTAAGTTTATGTCTGTGGTGGTGAGTAGGACTTCAGTACCTGTCATAGAGAAGACAATTTTGAGATCTACCTTGTGATTTGCTGTTAGTGTTCACTCCCTTTTGTGAATAAATGTTTGAAGTTAACTATAACAAAGAAATATGGTGACCTTTTGCTTTCTTTTATTGGGGTTAATTGTATTTCAGTGTAATTTTTCTGAAATGTAAATGTGTCACTTGAAATATTTATAGTTTTGTCACAGTGGTTTTTCAACCTTTTCTTGGTTTCTCTAAGGAAGGATTTATTTTAAGTTCTGGGGTACATGTGCAGAATGTGCAGGTTTGTTACATAGGTAAACGTGTGTCATGGTGGTTTGCTGCACCTAAATATTAATCCCAGAATGCGTTATCTATTTTTCCTGATGCTCTCCCTTCCTCTGTACCCCCACCACAGGCCCCATTGTGTGTTGTTCCCCTCCCAGGTCCATGTGTTCTAAGTGTTCAGCTCCCACTTATTAGTGAGAACATGTGGTGGTTGGTTTTCTCTTCATGTGTTAGTTTGATGAGGATAATGGCTTCTAGCTCCATCCATGTCGGTGCAAATGATGATCTCATTCTTTTTTTGTGGCTCCGTAATATTCCATGATGTATATGTACCACATTTTCTTTATTCAGTCTATCAGCAATGGGCATTTAGTTTGATTTTGTGTCTTTGCTATTGTGAATAATGCTGCAGCGAACATACACGTGCATGTGTCTTTATAATAGAATGATTTCTATTTCTTTGAGTATATACCCAGTAATGGATTGCTGGGTCAAATGGTATTTCTGGTTCTAGGTCTTTGGTGAATCACCACACGGGTGATTCCTCAAAGAATCGCCCATTCTGGATGATTCCTGTGACATCATCTTCCACAATGGTTGAACTAATTTACATTCTCACTCATTCTCACTCACAGTTTATTAATAAAAGTGTTCCTGTCTCTCCACAGCCTTGCCAGCATCTGTTGTTTTTTGACTTTTTTTTCTTTTTTTGAGATGGAGTCTTGCTCTGTCACCAGGCTGGAGTGCAGTGGCGCATTCTCGGCTTACTGCAACCTCTGACGCCTTGGTTCAAGCAATTCTGCCTCAGCCTCCCAAGTAGCTGGGATTACAGGCACGCTTCACCACACGCAGCTAATTTTTGTATTTTTCGTAGAAACAGGGTTTCACCATGTTGGCCAGGATGGTCTCCATCTCCTGACGTCGTGATCTGCCCCCCTCAGCCTCCCAAAGTGCTGGGATTACAGGTGTGAGCCACCGCACCTGCATTTCTTGACTTTTTAATAATTCCCATTCTGACTGGCATGAGATGGTATCTCATTGTGGTTTTGATTTGTTTTTCTCTAATGATCAGTGATGTTGAGTTTTTTCTCATATGTTTGTTGGCCGCATAAATGTCTTCTTTTGAGAAGTGTCTGTTCATGTTCTTTGCCCATTTTTTAATGGGATTGCTTTTTTTTCTTGTGAATTTGTTTAACTTCCTTATAGACTCTGGGTATTAGACCTTTGTCAGTTGTGTAGGTTGCAAAAATTTTTCCCCTATAGATTGTGTGTTCATTCTGATGATAGTTTCTTTTGCTGTGCAGAAACTCTTTAGTTTAATTAGATCCCATTTTAATTTTTTTTTTTGTTGCAATTGCTTTTGAAGCTTTTGCCATGAAATCTTTGCCCGTGCCTGTGTCCTGTATGGTATTGCCTAGATTTTTTTCTAAGGTTTTTCTAGTTTTGGGTTTTACATTTAAGTCTTTAATCTATCTTGAGTTAATTTTTGTATAAGATATAAGGAAGGGGTCCACTTTCAATTTTTTACATATGGCTAGCCAGTTCTCCCAGCACCATTTATTAAATAGGGAGTCCTTTCCTCATTGCTTGTTTTTTGTCAGGGTTGTCAAAGATCGGAAGGTTGTAGATGTGTGGTCTTATTTCTGAGTTCTCTATTCTGTTCCATTGGTCTATGTGTCTGTTTTTGTACCAGTACCATGCTGTTTTGGTTACTGTAGCCTTGTATAGTTTGAAGTCAGGTACCGTGATGCCTCCCGCTTTGTTCTTTTTGCTGAGGATTGTCTTGGCTATATGGGCTCTTTTTTGGTTCCGTATGAATTTTGAAATAGTTTTTTTCTAAATCTGTGAAGAATGTTAATGGTAGTTTGATGGGAATAGCATTGAATCTTTAGATCACCTTGGGTGGTATGGCCATTTTCATGATATTGATTCTTCCTATCTATGAGCATGGCATGTTTTTCCACTTCTTTGTGGTCCTCTCTGATTTCCTTGAGCAGTGGTTTGTAGTTCTCCTTGAAGAGGTCCTTCACTTCTCTTGTTAGCTGTATTCCTAAGTATTTTATTCTCTTTATAGCAGTTGTAAATGGGAGTTCATTCATGATTTGGCTCTCTACTTGTCTGTCGTTGGTGTATAGGAATGCTAGTGATTTTTGCACATTGATTTTGTATCCTGAGACATTGCTGAAGTTGCTTATCTGCTTAAGAAGCTTTTGGGCTGAGATGATGAGGTTTTCTAGATATAGGATTATGTCATCTGCAAAGACAATTTGACTTTCTGTCTTCCTATTCGAATGCCCTTTATTTTTTTTCTCTTGCCTGATTGCTGTGGTCAGAGTTTTCAATACTATATTGAATAGGAGTGGTGAGAGAGGACGTCCTTGTCTTGTGCTGGTTTTCAAGAGGAATTCTTCCAGCTTTTTCTCATTCAGTATGATATTGGCTGTGGGTTTGTTGTAAATGGCTCTTGTTATTTTGAGGTATGTTCCAGGGAAGGATTTTTCTATCTTTCATTAACCTGTGTTAAGTGTAATCATCCAGCCTTCTATTATGGATAAATTATGTTGTTTGTAATTAGAACAAAGAAAAAATTTATACTGACCTTCTCCTGTTCTCTTTTTTTGGTCACCCCCAGGGCACATAGATCTGTGTCCCTTTTTTCCTACTTGTTTGTGCCTTACTCAGAGATGTAGTATAAAGGACAGAAATAGAGATTCCCACAATGGCATTATTATTACTATTTTTTTTTTTTTTTTGAGACAGAGTCTCTCTCTGTCGCCCGGGCTGGAGTGCAGTGGCGGGATCTCGGCTCACTGCAAGCTCCGCCTCCCGGGTTCACGCCATTCTCCTGCCTCAGCCTCCCGAGTAGCTGGGACTGCAGGCGCCCGCCCCCGCGCCCAGCTAATTTTTTTGTGTTTTTAGTAGAGACAGGGTTTCACTGTGTTAGCTAGGATGGCCTCGATATCTGGACCTCGTGATCTGCCCGCCTTGGCCTCCCAAAGTGCTGGGATTACAGGCGTGAGCCACTGCACCTGGCCAACTTAATCTCTTTAACCTTTAGTTTAGCATCTCTGTCTTTTTTTTACTGTGTCCTTGGACCTGGTGCTTCTTTGGTTCATTTTGCCCCCAAAATAAATCTTATCTCCTCTGGGGATTGGGGAAGAGTATCACCTGGCTGGGTAGAATGGAGGGACTCGGGAACACTACTACATAAATTCAATCAATTTTTTTGTTTTTAGCTTCGTGGCCTCATTGTGCCTGCTCTGGTATCTGATGTCTTAAATTCCTGATCCTTTCTGATTTTTGCTATGTGAATTTGCTTTTCTCTTGGAATTCTCTACAGTTGCCTGGTAATAAGCTTTCTTACCTCTAAATCCTCCATGTGTTTTTCATTTGCCAAAAGTTTGTTGACATATCTTATGTTCCTGTTGTTTTCTAGTCTCTACCCTTTCAAATTTATACTTTTTAATTTCTTTAATCTTATTTTGGTATTTTTTAAAACAAGATAGCAAGATAGTAAAAGCTCATCTTAATTTAAATGGTTGTTTGTGTGTAAAGAACATTCTTAAATGATTAAAGGTGAAAACAAGAAAGAAATTAAAAGCCAAGAAATAAAATTATTATTCAATTATGTACATCTTTCTTAACATGGATGTATGTGTGTATATATAATATATATATATAAAATATACACACATATATATGTGGATATCTATTTTATATATATAAAATGGATATATGTATATATTTTATGTATAAATGGGTATCATGTACATGTTTGAATTTATATGTATGTACAGATATACCTTATGTACATCTGTATTATGTTTGTATTTAAATGTATGTTTGTATTTATATATATAGATACATGTACATATTTATACTTTCATAATCATTTAAAGCTGGAAAGTATCATGGTAATCTTTTACCTATTGTAGTTTCATTTTTCAAATGAAACTGGCTTAGATATGTTAGTGATTTACTGAAGGCTTCAAAAGCAAGTCTTCCCAGTGTTTTGTTAAACTGTAAAATCTTAGACATGTGAACAACTTGGAGGTTCAGAGTAAATTTAAAATCCTTAATTCTGGCTTTAGGTAAATAACTTAAAGTTTTAATTTTAGTCCTAAGAGATTTTTTCAACTGGTATTGTATTGGAATCAGGGAGGGGCTGGCTCACCTGATGCTTCTGAAAGCAAAGCAGTAATTTAACATATTATAAGTTGGCACAAAAGTAATTGTGGTTTTTGCCATTACTTTTAATGGAATATAATTATTAAATATATAAATAATATAGAATTAATATATTAATGTTAATATATTAAATATATAGTTAATACTAAATATATATTATACAGGTATTTAAAATATATTTAATGTTAAATATATAATATGTGTAATGTATATTTAATATATTAAATAGATAATATATACTTATATTTATATATAAAAATATATTCCATTAAAAGTCATGGCAAAAACTGCAATTACTTTTGCACCAACATAATACTTTGTTTGTAGTGATGGTATTTAACTTATTTTGAATAAATATTAAAGATGATATGAGCTTTTATTTATCCTAAGTGACTACAATGAATGGATCTTGTTTTTATATGACTTTGAAAGATAGCTAATAACTATTTTAATAAAAAATAGTATTGCATATGAGAATCTAAAGATTAAAGTAAGACAACTAAGCTTCTTGTCAACTAAGTTAATTCCTAAATATGAAAGCCTTAGGTTCTATTTGTTTTTTCTGTTCTATACTAAATGTCCATGTTACCATAACTATATAGAAATAGTTTGAAAAATTATATTTTATATTATGAAAATTATATTTCATCACTTAAATATTAATTTTCTTATGTACATATTTTCTTAAATTATCTCAATGGATACCATTATAATAATGCTGTGATGAATATTTTAATGAATATATCCTTTAGATAATTTTTTCGACGTATTTGTGGAAATAGGATTTCTTTGTCAAAAAAGCATCAACATTTTTAGATTATTATTCAATTGTGTACATATTTCTTAACATGGATATAAATATATATGTGTATGTGTAATATACACATACAAATGTGGATATCTATTATATAATATCTATTATAGATATGATATCTATTATATATCTATTATGGATATGATGTCTATTATATAATATCTATATCTTTTTAATTTAAATTATTGTTTTATTGCTTTCTAAAAAGATTATTCTACTACCTTATATAGGTATTAGCAGTGTGTGAAGAGCTGACTGATTTCACGATAACCTCGTCAACTTTAGTACTTTAGTTAATATTTTCTCCCCTGAGTTTCACAAGTGAAATGATAATTATAGTTCATTGTTTCAGTTTGTACTTTGTTGATGACTAATGAGATTTTAGCTATTTAAAGATGTAGAATTTTCTGTTAGAAAAAAAATTCAACTCTAAGATAGTAAAATATCTTTTGTCATCAGGGAGTGTGAGAATAAAGGAATAGTTGGTTGATTACTAAAGAAAATGTCATATAATTAATGAGAAATATAACTTAAAATATGAGACAATTGGTATAAAGAACTGTTCTCATGTCTTGTCAAGAAGCAAGGCACATAAACAATTTTACTTTAAATAAGACTTTAAAAAATTTTACAAAGTTTTATAAAAAGTAGTACATTGAGGCCAGAAACGGTGGCTCATGCCTGTAGTCCCAGCACTTTGGAAGGCCTTGGGGGAGGATCGCGGGAGCCCAGGACTTCCAGGTTACAGTGAGCTATTATTGTACCACTGCACTCCAACGTGGGATACAGAGGGAGACCCTGTCTCTAAAATAAATAAATGAAATAAAAAATTAGTATATTGCATTTCATCCATTGTGCCACCATGTTAGAAATAATATTCTTCAAACTTATGCTTACAGAAATGGGACGTCGGTCATCAGATACTGAAGAGGAAAGCAGAAGCAAGAGAAAAAAGAAACACCGTAGACGGTCCTCCTCGAGCAGTTCTTCAGATAGTAGAACATACAGCCGAAAGAAAGGAGGAAGGAAATCAAGATCAAAGTCAAGATCCTGGTCCAGAGATCTTCAGCCTCGTTCACATTCTTACGATAGAAGGTGATTTTCATAATTTTAGTTTATACAGTAATGAGGATAACAGTCTTTAAAATTCATGTTTTTGTATTTTTAGTTTTGCTAGATAAAACATTTTTCTTTTACTAGCTATATATTTACGAAAGTCCCAACCCAGAATTTTTTTTTTCCACCAGGTCCAGTCCGTGGGTCTAGTCTTCTCAACCTTTGTCTATTCTTAGTAGGCAAATAGATACAAAGTGGTGTAGTTTTCTTTTTTAATTTAATTAAATTAACTAATTAATTAAATTTTTTTTTTTTTTTTGTGATGGAGTTTTGCTCTTGTTGTCCAGGCTGGAGTACAATGGCGCGATCTCAGCTCAGTGCAGCCTCTGCCTCCCGGGTTCAAGCGATTCTTCTCAGCCTTCCGAGTAGCCGGGATTACAGGCATGTAGCACCACGCCCAGCTAATTTTATATTTTTAGTAGAGACAGGGTTTCACCATGTTGGTCAGGCTGGTGTCGAACTCCTGACCTCAGGTGATCTGCCCTCCTCGGCCTCCCAAAGTGCTGGGATTACAGGCATGAGCCAGTGCGCCTGGACTTAATTTTAAATTTTTTAGAGACAAGATCTTGCTCTGTCACTCGGGCTGGAGTGCAGCGGTGCAGTCATATCTCTTGGACTCAAGGATCCTCCCACCTCAGCTTCCTGAATAGCTGGGACTATAGGCATGTGCCACTATGCCTGGCTAAGTTTTTTTATTTTTATTTTTTGTAGAGACTTGGCCTTGCTGTGTTGCCCAAGCTGGTATTGAATTCTTGGCCTCAAGCGATCCTCCTGCCTCAGCCTCCCAACGTGTTGGGATTACAGGCATGAGCTACCGAGCCTGGCCTTGGTTTAGTTTTCATACCGTATAATCTGATGATATTTGGAAAGATTCTAAGACCCCTTAATACCTTAATTAGTAGCTGATCCAATCACTAAGTTACGAATCAGTCATCTGACTGTTCAAGAAAAATAACATTTTAATTTATCTCTATTTGCTTCCAGGAAAGAGTGAGACAGTAAAAATGAAATGATTCTTTAGAATCTAGAAGGTTTTTCCTTAATGCTCATAATACAAATTTTTATAGCAATGATCTTTGATTATATTTTATTTCAGACGCAGGCATCGATCAAGCAGTAGCTCTTCTTATGGCTCCAGAAGGAAACGAAGTCGAAGTCGTTCAAGGGGTCGAGGGAAATCCTATAGAGCTCAGAGGTCTAGGTCGAAAAGCAGAACAAGAAGGTATGCCTTATTAAGTATTTATTGCTTTGTAACAAATTATTCCAAATTTAGCAATGTAAAAGCAACAATCATTTATTTTCTTATAATTATATAATTTTGACTGAGCTTAGCTGGCACTTATTTTTTTCTCACCTGGGGTCATTCATGCAGTTAGTCCTGTGATAGCTTGATAGGAACTGGATGGTCCAATGTGGCCTCACTCATATATGTTGCATTTGGTTCTGGCTATTGGCCGGGGTGTACATAGCTTCTCATTGTCCAGTAGGCTGGGTTGGGTTCCCTACCAATGCATGTGCATTCCCCAGACATGAGTTTACTAGTATTTTGTTAAGGATTTTTGCATCAGTATTCATCAGGGATTTTGGCTTGCAGTTTTCTTGTAATATAGTTGTCTGTCTTTGGTATCAGAGTAATGCTGGCCTGATAAAATGAGTTTGGAAGTGCTCTCTCCTTTTCAGTTTTTTGGAAGATTTTGAAAAGGATTGACATTAATTTCTTTTTAAATGTTTGGTGGAATTATGCAATGAAGCTATCTGCTCCTGGGCTTTTCTTTGTTAGAAGGTTTTTGCTTACTGATTCAATCTCCTTATTATTTATAGGTCTGTTAAGATTTTCTCTTCCTTCATGATTTAGTCTTGGTAGGTGGTATGTTTCTAGGAATTTATCCACTTCTTCTAGGTTATCCAGTTTATTAGCATTCTTAGTAGTTTATAATCCTTTCGATTTTTGTGGCGTCAGTTGTAATGTCTGCTATTTCATTTCTGATTTTAGGTAGACTTCTTGGTAATTTAGGCTTCTGGCAATTTTTCTTTTTCTTTTTTTTTGGAAATGAGGTGTTACGCTGTCACCCAGGCGTGGGCGTGTTGGTGCAGTCAGCTCACTGCAGCCTCAAACTCCTGGGGTCAATGATCTTCTCGCCTCAGTCTCCTAAGTGGCTAGAACTACAAGCATACACCACTAGGCCTGGCTGACTTTTTAAAATATGTTTTGTAGAAGTCAATCTTACCATATTGCCCAGGCTAGTCTCCAAGTCCTGGTGTCAACTGGTTCTCCCACCGTATCCTCCCTAAGTGCTGGCATTATAGGCATGATCTACCTTGCCTGCCCTCATTTTTTCTTAATCCAAGTAAGTACTTGTTAATTTTGTTGTTGTTTTTCAAAAAACTCTTAGTTTTGTTGATTTTTTTTCTAAAGTTTTTCTGCTTTTCTATTCTCTATTTTATTTATTTTTTCTCTAATCATTTTTATTTTCTTTATTTGGATAAATTTTGGTTTAATTTGTTCTTTATTTATTTATTTATTTGCTGAAGTATAAAGTTAGATTGATATGAGACTTCTTTTTTTCCTAAATGTAGGTGTTCATGCTAAAACTTTCCTCAGTATTGCTTTTGCTGTTTCTCTTAAGTTTTACTATGTATGTTTGTGTTTTCATTTGTCTAAAGATATTTTCTAATTTCTCTTATGATTTCTTCTTTGATGTATTTGGTTGTTCAAGAGTGTGTAGTTTAATTTCTGCATATTTGTGGATTTTCTGATTTTTCTGCTGCTGTTGATGTCTAGTTTCATTTCTTTATGTTTCGAAAAGATACTTGCTATGGTTTTGGTCTTATTAAATTTATTAAGAGTTGTTTTGTGGCCTAACATGAAATCTGTACTGGAGAATGTTACATGTACACTTGGGAAGAATGCATATTTTGCTACTGTTGTGTGAAGTGTTCTGTGTATGTATGTTAGGTCTAATTCATCTGTGGTGTTGTTCAAGTCCTGTTACCTTATGTCTTATTTTTCTATCCATTATTGAAAGTGGAGTGTTGAAATATCCTACTATTACAATGTTACTAAATATTTCTCCCTTCCATTTTGGCAATGTTTGCTTTATATATTTGGGTGCTCTAGCGTTAGGTGCATATAGATATTTATAATTGTTATATATTCCAGAATAATGACCCATTTATCGTTATATAATTATCTTTTTTTCTTGTGACAGTCTTTGACTTAAAGTCTATTTTGTCTTATATAAGTATGGCCACTTCTGCTCTTTTTTGGTACCATTTGTATGGGTCATCTTTTTCAGTATATGTGTGTCTTTACATCTAAGGCACATCTTTTGTAAACAGCATATACTGTAATTGTATCTTGTGTGTATGATTGTGTGTTTTGAAAAATTCATTCAGCTAATCTGTGTTTTGTTTGGAGAGTTTAATCCAGTTACATTTACAGTAATTACTGATGGGGAAGGACTTACTATTGCCATTTTGTTAATTGTTTTCCGCCTTATAGCTGTTTTGTCTCTCATGTCTCCTGCTGCCTTCCTTTTTGTTTTGTTGATTTTTATATTGACATGCTTTGATAATTTTTCTCATTTTATTTTGTGTATGTTCTGTAGGTATTTTCTTTGTGGTTGCCATGAGGCTTACACAAAACATTATCTATTTTAAGTTGGTAATAACCTTTGATTGTATACAGAGATACTATTGTATATTTCTCCACTTCTATTTTATGTTATTGATATCATAGGTTACATCTTGTTGTGTCCATTAATATAGTTTATAGTTACTGCTATTTTTTATGCTGTCATATTTTCAATTCTATATCTGAATTAAAAATGTTTTACATACCACCATTACAGTGTTACCGTACTCCTTACTTGTGTATATAATTACCTTTACCAGTGAGCTTTATGTTTTCATGTACTTTTGTGTTGCTGTCTAGTGTCGTTTCATTTCCACTTGCAAGACTCCTCTTAGTATTTCTTGTAAGGCACGTCTGGTAGTGAAGAACTCCCTTAGCTTCTGTTTATCTGGGAAAGATTTAATTTGTCTCTTGTTCTTATAGAACAATTTTGCTGGATATAGTATTCTTGATTGACGGGGTTTTTTTTTCTTTCAGCACTTTGAATATATCACCCGATTCCTTTCTGACTTGTAATGTTTCCACTGCGAAATTGCTGAAATCTTATAAAAGCTCCCTTGTATATGACAACTTACTTTTGCTGCTTTCAAGATTCTCTCTTTGCCTTTAACTTTTGTTAATTTGTGGGCCTCTTTTACTTCACCCTTGAAGTGAAAGGATGAAATCATTTGAACTTCTTAAATTTGGGTGCCTATTTGCTTTCTCAGATTTGGGAAATTTTTGGCCATTATGTCTTCAAATAAACTCTCTGTTCATTTCCGTTTCTTCTTCTGTAACTCCACAATAAACTCCCTGTTTTTTTCTCTGTCTTCTTCTATAACTCCCATAATATGTATATTGGTCTGTTTTATGATGCCTTATAGTCCCTTAGGCTTCCTTCACTTTTCTTTATTCTTTTTCCTTTTGCTTCCCTAACTCAATAATTTTAAATTGACCTTTCTTTGTGTTTTCTGATTTTGTTCTTCTGCTTGACTACATTTGCTATTGAACCTCTCTAGTGAATTTTTCAATTCAGTTATTGTATTCTTCAGCGTTAGCATTTTTGCTTTTTTTAAATGTAATTTCTCTTCATTGATAGTCTTGTTTTTGTTTTTACTTTGTTCTCTTGACTTCGTTTAGTTGTGCATCTGTGTTCTTTTTTGGATCATTGAGCTTTAAGACAACTATTTTCATTTATTTGTCAGGTAATTTACAGATCTCAGTTTCTTTGAGATTGGTTTCTGGCAATTTGTTTGGTTCCTTTGATTGGGCTAGGTTTCCTTCTTTCTTTGACTGCCTTGTGATTTTTTTTTTTTTTTTGGCTGAGTTTTATGCAGTTTTAAAAAACAGCTGCCTTTCCTAGTCTTTATGGACTGGCTTCTTATGGGGAACGTCCTTCACCAATTAGCTTTTTTCAATGTACGCCAGCTTCCTCATCAGCACTCTTTAGCAGGTGAGAGATACCATTCCCTCTGGTAGCTCTCCAAAATGCTGGAATATTTGAAGCATGTACTTCACTCTTCTCTCTCACTTCTGATGAAGAAATAAGTTGGATGACTTTTCCCGATCGTCCTGAGTCATCCCAGTCTCTGTCTTTGGTACTGCTGGCCCTCTGGTGCCACAGCATCTGTTTCTGTTCTCTTTTGCTTTTGTTGGCACCCAGATATTTAACCTATGCTGTTTCCATTAGTGCTCCAGGCAAGACAGAAACCCATCCCTTGGGTGGCCCTCAGAAAAATCAGAATGTTGGATTTATGTTCCATGCTTCTATTTTCCCCAATCCGTTACCCCAAAAGCCATGAGCTGAACTGAGGTTTGCTGACCTTAGAGAGAATCAGGTAAAGTAAAATGGTTCTTACTTATTTCAGTGAGGCTGTACTTGGCTTTGAGCTCACCTGGAGTACTGCAACTTCTTAACTGTTTTTTGAAGTTCTATACAGGTATTTTGGTTTGTATATTATTGTTTTATCAGTGTCTTTCTTGGGGAATGAGGGCTGGGATATCCTATTCTGCCATCCTGCCATTGTCATTCTCAAGTAAACTTTTTTTTTGTTTCTTACAGGCTTTTTCTAACCTTTATTTTAAACTAATTTTAGACTAACAGAAAAGCTGCAAAAAATAATACAGAATTTCCTTATACCCCTCATATCACCTCACCTGGTACAATAATCAAAACTAGGCTATAAGTCTTATCAGTTTTCTCATAACATTCTTTTTCTGCTCCAGGATCCAATCCAGGATTCTATATTGCATTTAGTTGTTAATCTCTTCTTAGTCTCCTCCAGTCTATGAGACTTCTTCATCCAAAGATGAGTCTATGTTTGTCTTTCATGACTTTGGCACTTTTGAGGAATAATGGCGTTTATTTTGTAGTTTGCCCCTCAACCTGAGTTTGTATGATGTTTTCTCATGATTAGAGTGAGCTATGCTTTTTTGGCAAGAATACAAGAGAAATGACATCGTGTACTTCTTATTGCATCATATCAAGGGGTCTGTGATACTGCTATGTCATAGTGGTGTTAACCTTGATCATGTAGTTAGTGGTGTTAACCTTGATCATGTAGGGTGCCAGGTTTCGCCTGTGAAGTTACTATCTTTCCTTTTGTAGT